CTATATAAGGCTACCTACAGGCAAAAAGTGAGCCAAATCGATTTTTGGCCGTGTCCGCGATTTTTTCGATAATCTTTGATTTTTACTGACATTTACTCTTAAAGTTGCAAACTTATGGTTATTCACGTGTAAAAACGGTTTAAGAAGAGACCATTCTGATTGGTTTACGTGGCATGATTGACAAAGGACAGCGAAATATTGGACAAATTTAGCATTTGATGGTTTTTCTAGAAAAAATACAGAAAGCAATTTAAAATTATACTTATCATACTAATATAACTGGCCTCGTTTGACATATTTTTAGACATGTGATCTTACCAGAGACAATAATATAAACTATAACTAGTTGTTTTGTTAAAGTTTAATTATGGCTGCTCAGACCCTAAAAGTTCGAAATTTGACGGTCGATGGTCGAAGCAAATAATATAATGCATTACTTATCATACAATTAAGCAAAGCTGATTCCACGTATAGAACGTAATGCGACAGCGACGTTATACAGTGCAAATTGAAACCCAAATGCAACGGTGAACAGCTGTTTCGACCTGGTCTGGTCTCGTCAGGATACCAACAGCTAGTATGTTCGTTTACTTTGCGGTGCCTTGTCACATTTACACATCACTGACCAGTTTTCGCAAGCAATTCATTATTCATTTTCGGGCGTGTTCCTCTTATTTCACATTTCTGTGAGGAAGTTTGAGAAATATTAAATATTCCTGTGTTTGAAAATTAAATATTCAACACTCCTTTATGAAGTCAATAACTAGTATTCAATATTCATTATTTCTATTTCCATTCCTGACTGCGATGGTAATTAATTTGCTTTGACGCATTCTTTTATTATCTTCAAAGAACAATTAGAAATGAACGCTTCAACAAAGCAAATGGATTTTCATTACAGGCGTTCTGCAGGGTGTCTGCAGATGTGCTGTACAAAGTCTCAAATTTACAAAGTAAATATCTAGTTTATTACGCGAATAAGTCACCACAGGAGTCTAATAACAAAAGTCAGACAATCAATGTACTTTATCACTGGTCCATTTTTTTTAAGGATTCGACCGGCCGGGGGTTAAGATTACCTCTCAGTTTCAGCTCTTATTTATATGAGAAAAAGCATGTTCTGGTACTCTTTCTTTTCTGTACCGCCCTGGCCCTGCTGTACTTTAATTGTCTCCGTGCGGACCTCGCGTTCGGTTAATAAGTTACATATCTAACATTTGACATGAAAGAAATTGAAAGAATTGAAAGAAGAGACAAATGTACACACACAGCGTGTCAGTTTTGAGCCATATAGGTAGGGAAGGGGAGAGGGGGGGGGNATCAGGTAACGATAACTAAACACCTCGGCAAAATGGATGTAGAAATTTTCACCTTCGATTGAGAGACACCATTCCGTTAGGTCAGTGCAGTATTTAAACTGAAAGCTAAGTTTTTAAATCTCTTTCCCTTTCTGAAATATGCGCTTGGCTTGAGTGGCTTTTTTTAGCGAGAACTTCGTGGGAGTTAATTAAGGCACATGCAGTCGGCCCACCCTCCCGGCCCGGGCAGGCCCACCCACCGGCCTAGCTTTAAATTAAAGTTAACCGCGAGAAAACTGCAGGGCGGAATGCCAACCGCAAGCAAATAGCAGTAAATACATGTTAACCGCAAGCAAACTGCAGGGCGATTGCCGCTTTTTTGCCCAAACCACGTGATACAAAATGGATCGTCCAAAAACGCTGTTGGTTTTTCATGAGAATATTATGGAATCTCATGTAATTTTTATAGACGTGGTCTAAACTTGACAGCGTTTCTGAAGTGTAACTATCAGTGATACCAGTGAAAACTGGAGACAAACATAGCAAGTATTCAGAACGGAAATTAAGTACGTTCGATGAATAGAACCGTTAGTTGCAGTCACGCAATGATTTCTACGCGTGACGTTCAAAATGGCGTGACCAGTCATGTACCCTGTGGTAGAGTTAGTCACTGAAGTGTCCTTGGTAATGCCTGACGGTTTTTGGCCACGACGACTCTCTACAGAAGAATGCTGGACAATTTGGAGTTTCAAAGCTGAACAATATCATCCGTAATGTCTTTATCTCCTTTTTCTCGTAGCCCTTTGCTCGTGCTTTCAATACTGATCATTGCTGTGTTCGGTTTTCGTGCTTTTTTAAGCGTTCCTTTTCGCCGAGGTTCAAGCGCCGAGAAGCTTCAATCTAGGTCAGAAATCAGCATGCTTACATTTAACATCTGGTTTGCCGCTGAAAAGATGCAAGAGAGAATGGCCGCCTTGGGAAAAATCGTGGAAAATCTCAAGCCAGATTTGTTGACATTTCAAGAAGTCACTCGCGATAATCTCGCACTTTTACGGCAACAGAAATGGTTTGCTAGATATTATTTGACTCCACCTGGCATCACCAGAGAAGGGAGATATTTTGACATCATTTTAACCGTATTTCCGGTGGATAAATGGCATGTTTACCAGTTCAAGAACTCTCCACTTAATCGTAAACTGATAACCGCAGAAATCAAGGGGCCTGTATCGTCCTCGAAGAGTCCAAGATTTGTGATTGCAACAACACACTTGGAGCATTCGGGAACCTATGCTCAATTGCGTGAAGAACATTTAAGAGAGTCCTTGAAAATGCTGTCTACTTATGACAATGTTTGTGTGATGGGTGATATGAATATTGAAGGTCAATTTGATGGCGATGTTATTCTTCCCTGGCAATGGGTCGATGCCTGGCTCACACTTCCAGGAAATACGAATAGCAATGGCTATACCTGGGACCAGAGCAAGAATCCTTTCATTAGGAAGCATGGAGTCGAAACATCTTTGAAGGATCGCTTTGATCGTGTTTTTTGCAAACTGAGAGACTTTAAAGTGAAAGAAATGAAAATTGTGGGCAGTAATCACACAGTAAAAACTAGTGTATTACCCAGTGATCATTTTGGCCTATTTACAGTTGTTGAAATATCAGCAAAAACTGCAGAGAAACATAAAAAGCACTCACAAACTGTAAGTGAGGTTTATTTCAAGAGGCCACCGAGTTGGGAAAAGCTAATTAAGCAGTAGTTTACAGAGTATGTTGGATCCAGTATCATACATAACCTAGTGTGTCTTCCAATATTTATTTTTTCATAAGATGGCCGGGGATGACTGTGTGACAAGTCAGTGTCGGCACAAACCAAGGGAGTAAACTTAGGCTCAATTATCAGCTGCTGTTTGGGAAGGAGTTAAGCTCAGTTCGGATTTAAGAGAGTGGCAGAAATCAAGCCCAGGGTAAAATGTGACGGATTAGCAGAAGTATCAATGCTCTTGGTTTGTTCATGTTACAGATTAACAAGGATAACCACTGATGCTATAGATCAGTTTAACCTAAACACAGACTTTAATACATGACCTTTGTTGGGTAACTATGTTACACAGGCAATTCCTGGATATTTTTGTTGTTTTTTTTTTTTTNTGGGGGGGGGGGGTGCTGGTTTGCAGTTCATTTAGCTTCAAAACTCTTGCCTTACTTCATACCTTCAATTAACCACAGCTCATCAATTATCCTTTCAGGCCAAAACTTGTGTTTTTATGGCTGGGTTTTTATCTTTTCCAGTAAGTTTCTCTCGTTTAAATATACCCAGAGAGAATAGGAAGTACAAATTCATAGTTCTCGTAAAAGTCATACCTATTAATGCCTATCAAGTCAAAAGACAAGTGATATCCAAAACATTTCAGGTTAGTTTGCAGCCTGCATGCCGTATGTTGTGAAACAACAGGCAAATCTAGCTTACGGTGACTTACATATGTTATTAATGCTTGAAATATGTATTTGGCATACTTGCTGTATGTCAGACCAAAGAGATTTTGCCACAGAGGAACTAGAATCTTCAGTCTGGGGAAGACTAAAAACATCTCAAAATCCATAGCCTCTAGGGTAACACACTATTTAACCTATATATATATATATATATGTTACATGTAAGGTTTCAATGTGCTTGCAAAATTAGATATTTATACACAATGGAGCTCTCATGAAAATAACTTATTAAGATGATTTTCGCAGAACATTTGAGTAATAATGGCAAAAATAAAGTTACAAAAAAACCTCATGGCATGGTACTGTAATATTTCGAATAAAGGTAAGAAGAACTTATCAAGACTAAAGATCTCAAGCTGACCCCGCAAGAGAATATCGAACTTGAAGTTATCCATTATTTCAATTGAAATGGATGTTTCGCGTTAGTTGAAAACACAATAACACACCCATTAAAAGCCTTCTTACGAAGTTTGACATTAACTTTTTCGAGAATGCTTGAGAATATAATCACAGGTTCACTGAGGGAAATTAATTAAAGTGAGATGTGTTAAATAGTATAAATAGTATATTTCAAAAAGATATAATACAAGAGAGGGAGCATAACTATTGAACACCTTATCTTGCCCAGCACATAGTAAGAAAATATTGTTTCATACAACTACTTGTTACTTAGAACAATTAAACAAAAATATAACAGCTTTACTGAATTTTACCATCCCTCTGACATACTGTTTAAAACCCTGTTTCAGTCATTTATCTTGGTCACTTTGATGACTAGAGAATTTACATTGTGACCCTCCATTTGAAAAGGGGTCTTACAGTGAAAAATGGTAAGGTTTGGTGATGTCAAGGCCTGCTATGTGAAATTCAACGGCAGCCTAGACTTGCACGTATCTTTAACCAGCCACCGATTGTATCCTACAAGGAAAAGTCACTCAAGGACATTTTAGTCTGCGCAAAACTTCCTTCAGTCATGCCGCAACCATAAAAAATTGTAAACAAAGCACTTTCAAAAGGTTTGTTTTCAAAGCGGAAGGAAATTTACATACGATCTTTTCCTGCTAGCAACATGTTCAGCCTGCGTTCACACATTTCTGTCCGCAACTCAACTGAGCCAATAAACCTAGCCCTTGATCATTTGCTAAGCGCTCTTCCATTTACACTTCAAACCTTTCAGTTGATCATTCATAGCAAACGTAGAAGCTGAGGACTCATAGACTTTATTTAAGTCCTTTATATATTATACACAAAGAGAAGTTTGTAACAATGAAGAAAGACATCTTGATGTGATTCCCAGGCTCAGGATAGTAACACGATGATGAGAAAGCTGCTGCTAGGATGTTAATAAAATAACTTTTGCAACTTGCAGGATGGACAAAAAAAACAGCCCGTCTTTACTTTAGTGTTAAAATATCATTGACATGCAAAGCTCATCGGTGGCAATTAACAGAATGGCATTAGGTAACGTTGTTCCCTTTACCTGATTGATTGGCACCTGATGACACAGAATCAGTAAACTTGAAAAGTTTATTACTCAAATTAGTAATTTGCATGCTTCATTGAGCTGATAAACCACAGAAAGGCTTGGCAGATTATAATCAATATATTATAGGTGTTTTTTGCACAACTTTTTACTTGCCTTCCATTGCAAAAACAACAAGCCACTTACTCATTTTCACTTACATGTATATTGGAGGCATTTAGGGAGTGGTGTGACACAAAATGTGATCCAAAATATAATGGAAAATTAAAGTTAAATACATCTGCGCAGTGGCCTTGTGGTTAGTGTGGTCGCCTCTGGATCAAGCAGTCTGGGTTTAAGCCCTGGCCAGGAACATTGCATTGTGTTCTTGGGCAAGACACTTAACTCTCACAGTGCCTCTCTCTGCCCAGGTGTATAAATGGGTGCCGGCAAACTTATGCTGGGAGTAACCCTGCGATGGACTAACATCTCATCCAGGGAGGAGTAGAAACACTCCTAGTTGCTTCATGCTACACAAACCTGAATAAGATCCGGCCTGGTGGACCACTTGGCCCGTATGCAGACTTTTTACATCTCTGGTAACCAACTTGGAAACAAGAAATCAAATAACTTCTTCACCAGCTGACAATTTTCTAGCACTTTAAAATGGTATCTAAAGATGGTAAATTTGGTAGTAGTACTACTAGTACTAGTAGCACTGTATATAATTTTCCTAGTTATGCTGTATTAAAAAAATTGACAGTTAACTAAAAATGCACAGAAACAATACTAAACTTCTTACTTTATTATCCAACCTCTACCTTAATTATCAAAATAATATTCATCCTTTGAGAAATAAAAACCACTAAAAATCCCAGTAATGTCAGTCTGTTGGGATGGCTATTTTATTCTAATATAAGGCAACGAAAGTTTTCAAAGAAGAAATAAAAATCATCACTTTACACTTAATATAACTACATGGAACTCTCAAGGAAGTTCAATTAAAGTTTCACTAACTGAAAGAACTTGAAAAGGTAAACTAACATCCACGTTCACTTTTTAAAAATTTGTGTTTACATATAGCTGATGTAAACCCATGAACAGGAATAGAAATATATCAGCATTTTGCCAACTGTTTTAAACTTTATTCCCATTGTAATATTATTAATAGTACACTCTTACTTAGTGGACTTGGACTTAAATAACTATTGCCATCAGTTGTGACAAAATAAATGATGGCATTCACACTTAACACTATCACGATAAATTATCAATTACTTTAAAATTGTTACATCTTACAATACTAGGCACCACTTATTAGACGGTAAAACTTTGTAACACATGACTTTTCAACAGTCTCCGTGCTGTTTGCATCATTAAAAATGGCATCCAACTTTCATTATGTAATATCTGTGGCTACCGTTTCAACATTTTGAAACATGTTTCAAATATTGTATAACTTTTCATGTCATACATGGCAATCGAAAGCAAGTTACAGGTTTGATTTAAAAGAATGATCATCAGTAGACTTATAGGACCTACGTCCTCAGCCAGATTTCTCAAAAAAAAATTGGCCAGTTGTTTTTTCAAGGATTTTTTAATCAGTTTAATTAAAGTCTTTATCAGTTGTAACCATCACATTGTTTAATAGAAAAACAAAAATATGTAATTTTTTTTTTCTTTTTTTTATGACAGTTTTAGTATTATTCTACCTTGGGAAATTATTATTTTGAGATTTCCCTCAATTTAAAAGTAATCAAAAATGGCTTAAAATATCATGGCATTGTTCCCTTAATGCCTGCTTGTCACATGCAGCAAAGTTGTACCGTCCTAGCTGGCCTTAGAGCTACCACTATACATCTATGTTAAGAATCAGTCCAAGAGCTTGCAACGCTTACTGTAATGAACTAACCTGGCAACACAGCTAATTGCAAGCACTTTGAACATAGTCACATAATTGTTACATAACTACAGTAGAATACCAATTTCTCACACTCTCAATTTCTTGAACCCTTTGATAACTCAACCCAAACATCTTGGATTAGTTTCACAGTATATTTGCCTCCAAGATCTCAAACTCCCAATTCCTCACACCAATTCTTGTTTCCTTCCGAGGTCTGCGAAATCAAGTTCCACTCAACTTTATAGTACTACTGCTCTCACTTGAGCATAAGCCATGAATGGCAACTCTTCAATGTCACTAGGACACTATAAAAAATCTACAGACTATTAAATAGTGTGACCAATTTTCAATTAATATGTTTCTAAATTGCTACATGAAGATGATCACATAGTGACACAGAATATGCACCACAAAATACACAACTTACAGCAATTCAAATTTTGAAGACATATCAAAGCCTCTAAAAAGATAATAAAAATAAAAGAAAAACTGCACAGTCAGTTGTTTCAATCAATCAATCAATCAATCAAACTTTATCTTAAGTGGGTAGCACATAATAGTTTGTATAACTAATGTTTGGTTGAGAGGCTTGAAAAACCAAGAGATAATTGCTGAAAATTGGTCACAAAAATAGTGAGCAGCAAAACAGATGCTGCATTTACAACAACATATCATTACAATGTAGTACTTTCTCGGACAAATGCTTGATACACAACTGGAAAGATGTCTGGAGGGAAGAGAGAAAGGAGAGAATTGGGAGACACTGAAAGAAAACCTACCAAGCATTTCTATTTTAGTGTGTGGGGAAAGGGGCAGGTGGTTAGCACATGTTAAGTTTTGTATTTTGAAGGTCAAAAGTACTTCTGACCAGTATTCTTTAGGGCGTGTGAAGTTAGAGGAAAAGTCAAGGCACGTCAATTGATCATAGTTTCCATCAGACCTGTTTTCAATTGAGTGATCGAAAGTAATCAGGCAGTTACTTTGGTATTTTATTTTGGTTTTACTACAGTTTAAAACTGGCCGAGTAGTCTAATTGGTAAGTAATTAGTGTGGTTTTGGTTTTACGACATTCAATAATTGAAATCCGTTCTATTCTTTTGGACTAAATAATCATCAATATGGCTTCTCCTTTCTCTTCCTCTCCCTTGCTCTCTCACAGCTGAATTCTAAAAATCATAATTTGCATATGCAGGAGCCTGTTTATACCCTTTCACTTGTCTCATTAAATTCATAATTATTTTGTTTACAAGCTCCTTGAAATCCAAAGGGCATTATTTCTGTTGGAATATAACAGCTCATTCAATGACAATAACATTGTTTAAAACACCAAGAAAGTGGGCATATCTGTAGGATCCCTTAACACCCCAATAAACTCCTCAATTCTTTTTTGGATGTTTTCAAACTTGTCTCTGCCTCTGTAATCTATCTCGCCATTTTCCCAGGCTTGCTGATGTGCAAGATCTTGAAGCGCTGGGGTTATTTCTACAATGGGATCATCAATGTACATATCAGCTATCCCAACGTCTATTCCCTCGACATCTGATTCCTGAAAATATGAAGAAAATATTGAACTAATTGCTATGGATCTACTTCAAGAATGAAATAATACTTCAGCTAAGAGTGAAACCAAAACATGCAACATTACATTATGCATTTTTCACATGAAATGCTCCTTGACTTCAACATTTCTGAGAGGAGCCAGCAATGAACATGTATAACTTTGAAAAAAATTGAAAACCTGCAAAGGCATATTCATTAGTTATTTTCACATTACATCAATAGTGGCTTCCCCTGCTTAACTAACCACCTAACATCAGTGTAAAATCTTGTAATAGAAAATATTCATTGAGGAAAATTCATTATTACTAAATGCCTTGTTACGATGTTTTAGTTACTTGAATAATTCTACAGTTTCTTCTTAATCAGGGACTGACTTTCAACCTTATTTCAGGAATTTAAAATTAAAGTGCTTCCTGTTTATGGGGAATTTTTTTATCATAGTTAATCTGCACACTTTGGTATGGGTTGAGAGAATTTCAATTTGAACAATAACAACTGTCCCAGAGTGGTCAATGCCAGTCAACAGTTTAAGGAGAAATAAGCTGCTGATCAGTAGTCGTTATTATCCTTAAAGTCACCAAGTAATGGCCGCAGTACTACTATATTGAATTTGCAAATTTAATACTTAAAGTGGTACTATGACGAAAATCGCATCTTTCCTATCTAAACCATTTTAAAACATAAACAAGTAGTCTGTATGAAAGGAAAAATGCTGTTTACTATTTTCAAATATCTCTTTTCGTTCCAGAGATATTTAAGTTTTTAAAATATGCAGATTAGCTTAGTGATGATGTCATACACTCAACCAAATTTTGATCAAATGATGAAGAAAGATATTTCAGCCAATTTGTATCAGAAATGTTTGATTCTTTGCAGTAAGATTCTACTTAATGCGCTCAACAATACGAACTTAACAGTTTTGTTACCATGGCAACATACTGGGTTCCAGACCTCCCCAATATTAAAGACTTTTCTGCCCACCTTTGGCATTCCATTTTGATATTTGCTAATGGTGCCTCATATGCATGATCCAGCAAGCATATATATCTATTAGCTTGAGTTCATTGCTTCGTTTAANTGTCCAAATAAAGGACGGAAAACAAGAATGGATCGTGCCTTTCACCGGACGATTCCGCGTGGAGGCCTGCGGGGCATCTGGAGGAAAAGGATCCAGTGGAGTGGAGGGAGGCAGGGGGGCTAAAGTAAGTGGCAATGTCTTGCTGACGAAAGGAGAGAGAATTATTGTACTTGTCGGACAAAGAGGCTCATCGGATGCTCTTCACAAACCGGGAAGTGGAGGTGGTGGAACGTTTGTTATCTCTCAAGTTGGGCCTCTTCTTGTAGCTGGCGGTGGCGGAGGGGGAGGTGCATCAAAAAATGGTTACGACGGAAATGATAAACAGAATGGAAGCGGTATCGGTGCTGGGAGTCATGGTTTAGGGGGCCTTGTTTGTAAACAATCTTCCTCACTAAGTATTCCACCAGATTCTGGTTCGGGTGCTGGCATTAATGGAAGTGGAGGATGCTTTGGTGGAACGCCATGCACAAGGAATAACTGTCACAAAGGAGGGCAATCATTTACAGAGGGAGGAAAGGGAGGAAAGGGGGACAAGGAGCCAAATTGTCATGGTGGTTTTGGTGGTGGAGGAGCTTGCACGGACTATGCACCTGGGGGAGGAGGTGGATATTCAGGTGGTGGAGTCGATGATAACAAGGCTGGGGGAGGGGGAGGGTCCTTCGTGGATGGTGTGCGGGGGAGTGCTATAAAGGGAGGGTGTGACGACGGGGATGGGTATGTTTCTTTTATCAGTGAAGATTGATTCCAATAATAGAGCGGTTTTCAATTATATATCAAACACTCGAGAAAGTGTTTCGTCAAGATATCCGAACACCGAGATCGAAGAGAGTTGAAAATATAATACGACCCGCAGCGGAGTATTTTTGAAGAAATTCGAGGTGTTTGGATTGCCGATGAAACACTTTCTCGAGTGTTTGATATAGCTTCTCAATCGAAACAAAAATTCAGGAGTAAACGGAGAGGTAAAATTATCAAAATTTTTTGTTTTAACTTGATGAATTATGAATGAGTTTGAGAAAGTTCTGGGAAATTTGGCCCAATAGTGAAGAATTTGGTCCAAAATCATATTCACGAGCCAACAAAGTGGTATATACTTAATGCAAAAACAGTTAAGTTTTGAGAAACATAATTACCTTTGACAATTTTCAGGTTCAAAATGTTCAAATGTTGCTGTCTATAGTGTTCTCGAGTGTTTGATATATCTCATCAATCGAAACAACAAACTAAGGAGTAAACTGAGAAGTAAAATCGTCAAAATGTATTCTTATTAAGACCGAGAATCCAACCTTCTTCAAGGTTGTGATTTTCTTTGTTTTAACTTCATGAATTAAATAATCAGAAAATAATCAGGGAATTACTTTGGTTTTGGTTTTGGTTTTAGTTTTACTACGATTTGAGATCGACTGAGTGGTTTAATTGGTAGGTAATAGGTTTGGTTTTGGTTTTACAGCACCCGATTGAAAACCGCTCTAAACTTATGAGGTTATCCAATTTATAATGTGACTGAGAAGATTATTTCATTGTGATCAGCTGAAAGCGGGCAAATAAGTAATAGGTTTTAAATTTGCACTACGATCAAAATTAGTTTGCGGGTTAGTGATTTTCTCGGTCAAATTATCGTAAATGAGTAATTGTATGGAAGCTCTCGCTCTGAGCAATTAAGGTTTTACAATACCTGTGTTCTGAAAAACTCTTTGGGCACGAACCTTTGTTTCAGTTATCACTGAAGCAAATTCTTAAAAGAACTCGCATTCATACGGTTACCAATACGACTTGCTTATTTGGGCTCCGTGAGGAATTCTTTTGAGACATTCTCCGTTTTGAATGCCGGATGTTATAGCTGGAATCTCGAGGTCCCCCGCCCCCTCTCCCCCCGCCGCTGAAATTACACGATGGCCGCTCGTTAGATTGCTTTGTAGCATAGCGTGAATTTATTGATAAATAGTTATCATCATTAAACTACATCAATGACTTTACCTTAATTTAAGAGCTATTCAATGTGGTCTTATCCTTTTACAATGAAGCCCTTATTGAGCGGAAAACCTCGGGACCTTTCCCAGGGTCCGCTTAATGGCGGGCCTCCAAGTTAACAACAGTTTCTCCATAATAAACTTCCAGATTATTCACCAAACTATCCTGAAGTTCGTGATGTGTTTTGCGATAGCTCTTTTTAACCAAGTCATTGTAAATTCGTTCCAGCATCCGCTAAATGGAGGTTTTTAACAACACAGCAATAAAATGGAGAGAAAACTTAACTACAAGATCGACTATGACTGAGCAAGGAAATTGTGGTTTAATTCTGACTATATTTTATTGAAATACAATGCTTGGAATAATAACTGACGAACTCGCTTGCATGTACTTAACCTCTGAATCTTTGCAAACTCGTATCGATTTATGGATAAATTTTGCTATGCAGTGGCCATTGACTGGGGTGGATACTGAATTATAGAGAAGACGGAACCGTCGTCGGCGGTCCTCTTCAGGAGGGTCCGAGGACATCCTCCCCAGAAAAATTTATAAAATTATGGTCCTCGGAAATGCGATTTCCCGCATTCTGAGGCCACGTCAGCTTGTTATAATGTCTAATTAATTTTTTCATTTTAGGGGGCTCGACCGAACCCCCCCCGAAACCCCCTTAGATCCGGCCGTTCCAGATAGAATTCCGATTTTTCAAAGTCTCTGATTTCGAAACTCCCAATTAATTATTTGAGGCACTATTTTGTTCTCCCGGCAAAAACTTAATGAACTAATTTCCGTTACCCTCGGTGGTTTGTAAAATCGGGATTCCACTAAGAACAAAGTTCAAAGTTACAACAAAATCGCATTGATAATGCGGGCCACAGTTTAGCCCTTTCAATAAAGCAATCTGAAATTCTCAAGGCGATAAAACGACGAGAAAATTATCGCTAAGGCTGCTTTTCTAAACTTATTGTATCTTAACGCGTATATCAAAGGATTCAATAATGAATTTACCAGTCCCAAAAACCTAGCCCAGTTCGCAACAGTTTTCAGTTTGCTCGGTTCTTTGTGATCAAGGGGAATGACATTTTCCATAACAAAACAAGGTGCCCAGCAGATGAAGAAAACACCAACAAACAGAAAAACCGAGAACGCCACCTCCCTTTCTCGCTTGCGGATGTCTTCAGTTAACTCGTCTACACTTCGCAGCAAGCTCTGCTGTTCACTTCCAATGCTTTGTTCGAGGTCCCGACGAATGCATCTTCGCACCAAGTAAAATATTCTTAGGTAAATAACAATCATAAAAACAATCGTTGGAATGCCAATCGCATTGGAGACTATCCGTCGATACTCCGCCTCGTGGCACTTGTTCAGCAACGACAGCAGCGCCACACAGGCCGCTATAAGCCAGATATAGACAATGGCCAATTTTAAATGCGAGTAAATCAGGTAATCTTTGCTTTGGAGAGGTGCTGCCACTACGATGTATCGTTCAAACGCCAGTGTCAATATCGTCAGAGCAGAAGCAACCATAGAAAAGTAAATACAAGTGTAAGCCGCGAAATACAAGTTGAAATTGTTATTAGTGAAACGAAGCAAGCCCAACAACAGCTCACTAGGGCCCGCGAACAGATCACACACGGCTAAATTCAAGATAAGGTAGTTGGGAATGGTTCTCAGCTCTTTGTACGGGTCCACTGCGATTGCGACCACGACTAAGGCGTTTCCTAGCATGGTAAAAAAGGACATGGTAAAGGCGGTGACAGCGATTCCAGTAGTTATGTTGAAACCAACAAGATGACAGCTATTGGTAAATGATTCGCTTTTCAAGTAACCTGTGGGAAAAAAGGAGAACGATCAGTAAAAGGTCCGTAACTTGTAACTGCATGATCGCTAGTCACTGGTTCATACATCGCACTTCTGTCGTGTTGAATTCAATACAGTTAAAGACGTTCGCGCGAAAATTTTCCAGGCGATAGATTTTCTTTAGTTACTTGTGTCAGAAATGCAAAAAGGGGCACCGACTTCGTTTCAGAGATAAAGTGTGTGGAAAACTAC